TCGTATGCTCCAGGCATTTTCTGCGTATATTTTGGTGTTATATCATCGGCCCAGGTTAACTTAAAGATGTCTGGCGATCCCAAGGTCGCGAGGAGAGACGAGATGGTTGGACATGTGACAAGGATGTAAGGCCTTTTGATGGCATTGAGGTTCTTTGCGACGTTAAGCACCTTGGAGGCGGCGTCAAGGTCCGAGGCAAAAGAGGACTGAAGCCGTATGGCGGATGTGAGGAACGGAAGGAGCTTTTCCTGAGCGGTCCGAACGGCCTGACCGCGCTGTGCGTTGAGCACGACGGAGGTATCCTGGGCGGCTTTGGAGATGGTGACGATGGCGTCGGAAAGGGAAGCAGCACTCTTGTAGGTGTCAATGTCGCCACCCATACCGTCAACGAGGGACTTAAGGCGTGCCTGCTGCTTGGACAGGGTGGAAGTGAAGGAGTAGAATATTGAGTCAATCTGGCGTTTTGCATGCTTTTTGCTCTCCTCGCTGGCTTCGAGGCGGTCGTGGAACTGAGTCTCTTGAGATTTCATCTCCGCCACCAAGGACTCGGATTGGACGATGAAGCTTTCGAGGTTTGACTTAACGACGTCCTCGGCTGTGGAGAGGGTTAGAATTTCGGGGGGCAGAGAGAGGCTCGAGATCGTAACTGTGGTCGAGGGTGTGGCGGATGGGTCGGCTTGTGCGACCGGATGGGTCATTTTCTGTTCGTTCTTGAGACAATACTCGCAGAACAGCTTGCCGTCAGTCATGTTAATGAAGCCGACGTAGTCGTCGTGGCTCTCGCAGCGTTTGGCCTGGTTCATGGACTCGATGATGCTGCAGAGGGTGAAGTTTCGGGGAAGATCCTTGACATTCTCGAAGTTGATACGGATGGTCTGATGGCAGTTGTTCGGACACTGGAGGCTTGCCGAGCGGCTGCGTTGCACGGCGGCCAGGTTGTTGATACATTCCCAGCAGAAGTTGTGGCCGCAGGGAAGGGTGCGTGGATCGGTCATGGTGTCCAAGCAAATCTGGCACTGGAGAGACTTGACGATCTCCTTGAACACGGCATTCTGGGGTTTCGAGGAGGCGGTTGGTTCCATTGTGGTTGATAGAGGTAATGGTTGATTGAGTTGAAAGAGTTGGAGGTCAGGTCAGATATTCCGCGCTATGGTCAGGTGAATCCACGTGATTCGAGCAGTCCAGTTAGGAGAAATTTATTATTCAACTCACGAAATTTACAATCCAGAAAAATTAACCCACGCGCTTAACTCTACCCCACCCTGTCCGACTTCCAACAATCTCCTCCCGAACCATACCTCTCTCCATCGACCGGGCGCGTCGCTCACATCAAGAACCTGCTCTCACTCTCCGCCAGCACCTTTGCGCTCTTCTTCGCGTCGAAGAAGAGGTCGTCCACCTCGCTCACATCCTCAAGCGCGATGGCCTCGCGGCCGTTGATCTTGGACAAGATGCTCGCGGGGGTCAGGAGCTGAATCGCGAACCTGCATTAATGTAAAAAGTCGGCTTGAGTTCGTATTACGATGCGATAACCCTATACGACAGTCAACCCATTAGCACCCTTATTTAAACCCTTCTATCCCACTCATACCTCAACGACGTCTCGATCCCCCTCTGGGCAATCCGATCCACCGCCGCGTCCTCAATTCCCAACCCTTCGGTCTTGGCGCGGATGCTGACGATGACCTTGATCTCGTCGACAGTGTAAGGCAGGGTGCGGATGATAAGCAGGCGGTCGAGGAGATCGATAGGAATGCCGTGCGGGGCAAGGACGTCCTCCGTGCCCCTGTTATGAGATTTGGAGATGTCAGCGGGTACACAGCAACAGAGAAGAAGGAGGAGGTAATACGAAAGGGAGAGAGAAGATACATACCTGATCAAACACATCCCTCGGTTCGTCGCGAGGATAACAATGGGCGATAGCGAGGACTCGAGGGCGCGGTTCAGGTATGTGAAGCACTCGATGTCGAGCATGTGGACCTGTAAGACGAAGAACATGTTGACATTACGACCAACACCACGGAGTTGTCGCAAAGTATCCAAGAAATAAAAAAATCATCCCGTAACCACCTAAAAACTAAATGGTATAATATATCATACGAACCTCATCAATAAACAACACACCAGGCACCAGCTCCGCGATCCCCTGCTCGATGTACTTATTTACCACCTTGTTGATCTCCTTGCGAAGCTTATCCGTGATCTCCGTCTTCTTGGGCTTGAGGAGCTGGCCCATCATCGACATGATGTCTTGGCCGCCCTACAATAAATGGTGCGAGAGCAAAAAAGTTCAACATCTGCTAAATGAAAACCACGTCAGCCACTAAGCACGCAGCAAAACCAAACCTGAGGCCTTGCGTTCGCCACGTCCAGATCGTGGAGCGTCACATCCTGGATGATCTCCTTCTTCTTGTGCACCTCGCCCTTGGGAAGAGGGACGTACTCCTCGGCCTCAAGGTCGAACTCCGTGGCGTAGGCATCAGAGCGACCGACCCTCTATTCACACAGTCAAATTATCCCCGCCAAAAAAAAAAAAAAAACGGTGAGCCACCCGCACAACGTCATAATCCGTGCTCTCTCCGTAAAACCAAATAAATTCCTCGCTATCGTCAAGGCCTCGACGTACCTTGGTCGCGCCGGTGTTCGCCTCTATGTAAATCACGTCGCCAACGGTAACCTTCTCCTTTTGTATAGATTCGTAGATGCTGGGGTCAAGTTTGAGCTGCTTAGTGCCTTTGACGGTCTTAAGACCGATGATGACATGGGAGATGGTCTTGCCGTATCCGCCGAGTGGGTTTTCGGTCTCCTCGGGAGTGAGCTCGGTGACCTCTCCCTCGTAGACCTCCTTGGTCTCCTTGATGCGTAGGCCTGGGCATAATATCATTGGATGGGTGAGCTTGGGGATACGATATGGACGGGCGTGGTAAGCTGGATAAAAGATGCGTATGCGTACCAATGGCCCTCCTAAAGTTCTCCATCAGCACCTCCGTCTTCTTGATCTCGGACGAGTACACTTCACTACCGACCATGGGGCAGAACGGGACCTTGGGACCGAGCTCTTGCGAGATCGCGAGGGCTATTGCGGTCTTGCCAGTGCCGGGGGCGCCAGCCAGGAGGAGGGCCCGGCCGGCCATTTTCCTCGATTTGATGAGGTCGACAACAATGCCGCACGCCTGTAGATGAGAGTTATGCCAACAACAATTATTTAAAATAACAGCCGGTGAATGCGACTCATGAAACGAACGATTCGCGTCACCTCTCTAGCGTTCTCCTGGCCCACGAACCCTGCAGCAATAGGGTCAGCGATGCCATCATCCCGCAGGCCCAGTCCCTTGATGTGTGAGTGAGTTGCGACACGCTGCTCGCGAGTTGTGTTTTTGACCTGCTGGATCCTCATGGTTTGTGGGGTATGTGTAGTAACAGTGTTCCAGAACAAATTTTTGTAAACAAAGAACCTGTTGGTGACGTGACTTGCTTCGCCACATATCTCCGTAAACAACACAACACGTCCCTTTCTCCCTCAACTTGCCACAATGCCAAAGGTCAAGACTTCTCGCACAAAGAAACGCCCGGAGGGGTTCGAAGAGATTGAGGAGACCCTGCAAGAGTTTACGAAGAAGATGAAGGATGGTACGGCCTTATCTGTGTGTCTTGCGTTCCTTTAAAGCTTGACCTGTCTTAACAACCCACTCAATCTCATCTCATTCCCCTGACCTTTAGCCGAGAACGACCCCCACGAGGGCAAGCGCCGCGTCGAGTCCCTGTGGCCCGTCTTCCGCATCCACCACCAACGGTCCCGGTACGTCTATGACTTGTACTACAAACGCAAGGCCATCTCCAAGGAGCTGTACGAGTACTGCCTCAAGAACGGGTACGCGGACGCCAACCTCATCGCGAAATGGAAGAAGGTACGGATACTAGTCATTTTAATTACATATTATCTCTTGCCAAGATCATAACTACCTCGATGAATTTCCATCATATTTCGAATCCGTCACTCATCCTTCCCCTCATTCTCGCATCTCGCGGTCACTTCCTCCAAAACCCCAGCCCGGCTTTGAGAAGCTCTGCTGCCTCCGCTGCATCCAATCCAAAGACACGAACTTTGGCACGACTTGCATCTGCCGCGTGCCCAAGGAGAAGCTGGAAGAGGAGAAGGTGGTCGAGTGCGTCCACTGCGGCTGCAGGGGCTGTGCGAGCAGCGATTAAGCACAGCGGCTCGTTGAGGGTAGGAGTTTTTAGAGAGGCGGTCGGTGTGGGAATTGGCCGTTTTGTGATGCGGTATGGATAACCGGTGAATTACAGAGGTCGGCGTCATCTGATTGTGAATTGCGTTTTTCCCGCTTTATTTTATATTTTTTGATTCTCAATGTGTCTGCCTCATGAACGACAAGCCATCATTACATATAAATCCTGGTCCAATTTTCATAGAAAACCAGATAAATATTACAGATTCAATGTTGCGGTCGGTTTCCTATACATAAAGGGAAATCCCGTACACCGAGTATTTGCCATTGCGCATGTTAGATAAGTCGTATACTGCAGAAGCGAATGAAATAGATACATTTCCATCCCTAACACCGAGGTCCCAAAACGTTTCTGGTACATTCTCATACGACGAACTTACCTCTAGGCATACCCCAAACCCAAGCGCTTCAAAGATGTGTATGCTTGCCTCCGGCGTCGAGCGGTCGATTTTTTCGAAATGCTTTGCGCTCAAAGAAATAAATTGCTCGATTATAACGGAGTGCAAATCGTTGCGGCACACCTGGATCTCGACCAGGCCAACGTTGTTGCCATAAATCGGTGTTCCCATCCACCTTTTTCTATACGTCACGCCGGCAAAAAACATTTGCCGGCATCGGCGTTCCCGATATATGATGGCCAAAATATTACGTCCTTTCACTGTGCACCAGTTCCCTCGTCTGGAAGACGGTGGTGTCGCATTCAAAGGAATTCATGCTTACTAAGTTCATGGATCAAACTCCCGAGGAAGTACAGCCCGGCTAGCTCAATCGGTAGAGCGTGAGACTCTTAATCTCAAGGTTGTGGGTTCGACCCCCACGTTGGGCGCTTTTTATTTTTGCGGTTTGGGGGGGTTTTTTTATGTCCTATGTAATGCATACGGTCTAGCATCATGTTCTCTTTTCCTGTGCAGGTAAAAATTTGGCCATAGTACTGAACTCTCACGAATAGTAGTGACAGGTACACCAAATATATTTTTGAAACTGAACCATACCACCGTTGCTTGCTAATGTAATGAACAGCAGAGAGAGACATATACATGTACCAAAAATGATAAAAGCAATAATGCTGGATGCTGGATGCTGGGCAATCACATCACCATTCTGTCACGTCGATTTATTTTGTTTCCCACCCTCTCTCTCCCTTACTCTTACCCTCTCACCCCTTACTCACAAAATCGTGACGACGATGACGAATATAGCGACCAGAACCGCCATGATGCCGACGGCGCCGATGATGACAATACCGCGAGTAGCAGGGAATTTGCCCTCGGCCATTACGGCCTGGGTATGGAAGTAGCGCGCGACGGCGAAAAGGAGGAAGACAATGCCCAGCCCAAGGAAGGCGCCACCCAGCGGGCGGCCCATGTCGTGTAGCGAGTTGGAGTCATTCGGGGATTCAAGGCGGAAGAGTTGTGTGATGGCTGGGGGGTTAGGTCGTGTCGAGGCGCAGAGGGATTAGGATCGATTCGGGTTTTTTATTTATTTCTTTTAGCTCTCCAATTTTCATTTCCTTTAATATAAAATAAAAGGTCGACTTGAAAACTCACCAACACCAACAGTGATGATAGATAACGACGTCCTCAACCATGCCAAATATGTGCGCTCGTTTGCTGCGCAGAAGAAGAAAAATTATTTCAGTAACATTATCGATTATCAGTCAAACTACCCACAAAATCCGCTACCGATATCTACATAGATGATCCCTTGCGACGCTCCCCTTATTCTCCAGCAACAGGCTCGGCGATATCCGCCTATAGTATGCAAATAACTGTTGTAGCCACTCGTGATGCACCGATTCGCATGCACAGCTAGACTCCTTTCCGTTAGTCATGGTGCTCATCTTCGCAAGTTGGGTCAACCTCACTGATGGAGACGGTCTCCGTTGTGTTATCGTCGTCGTCACGCACTTTCTCCGCGAAGACCGGGTCACCCAGTGTGGTGGCGGCGGTATAGCTCACGCGGCGCTGGAACTGCGAAGGCGTGCGATGGAGAGAGTGCGGATGAGGCACGCTCTGGGGTGATCGGGATCGCGTCAGAAGTCGCAAGCGTACAAGCAGTTGGTGTGACGGTTCCGAGAGTTCGGTCCCCAAAAGAAAACGTGGATATGCGGATCCCGATCCGCCATGTGGCGAAAAAATGGAAAACATGCCATACCCCAGACGCCGAGTGATGGATACAAGCCGAAATAATCTCCGTTGATCGAGATACAAAACAGAAGTTCCCACGCTTCAGATCGCGGCCTACGCCATGCATCTGGAAAACGTTCCGGACGCGATAACTCGATTTAAACCACATCCCTGATTCACACGCGCTATTTGACATCATGGTGTATATTCAACGATCTGCTGTAAAGAATCTATGTGGCGACTTTAATGGAGCCACTTCCTCGTCTTCTGGGAATCTTCTTCGTTATCATCCAAAATATCGATGAAAACATTGCTCCATCTACTCGAAATCCTCCCGAGGATTCACAAGAATCAAAGCCCGGAGTCAAACCGACAGCCGTGGTGAGTTCCTCAGCTTAGCTACTTGGATTTTCCAAGGCGGGTGGCGAAAAGAATGACTTTTTCCTTTGTTGACGAGTAGGCATCTACGCAAAGTCACATGAAAACAGGTCAACCTTACGATCAGTTTTGCACTGTATACTGTTTTCCAAGATTCGCGCACTGTGATTGGTCGAAACAACCTTTACCACCGTTGAAATAGTTTTATGTAAAAATAGGTTCGTTTTCATATTAGTATAGCAAACCTGCATATTTGCATCCCACAAATATATAATTATATATACATTTTCTGCATCCGACCAGGTGGTTCATGACGCTTCCCCTATCTTTGTGGATCTCTTTTCGCTGCCACCTTTTGTGCTTGATTCTAAATTTTAAGATGAACATTAAAAAGAACGCAAACCTCGCGCTAAGTTACAGTTATTTGAAGATAGGATTATCGCTACCCAGCCATCAGCTAAAAGCCATCAAAGATAAAGAGAGGGCTGGCTTATCTACCTCGGCGCAAACGCCATAGATTAACAGCAAGAATGAAGAAACCGTGATGGTTTCAGCGATTGATACGCTCAATACATATACGTGTGTTCAGTACCTGTATTTCCTACAGGGTGGTAAAGCGAATCATATCGGAGAAAGTTGGTAAAGAGTGATGGATGAGCACGAGTGCCGAGATTGGATTTATAAACAAGATGCGGGAAAACAGAGTGGTTCCTGGGCGGCTCCGATCCCTCCTGCCGCGCGCGGAAGTGGTATTGAGCTTTTAATAAAGGCCGAGTACCCGGTTGGGTTTGCAACATAACAAGAGTGTTGGGTGTATTTCTGTGCCGGAAGCGTATCACGTACATCGGTGGCAATGGCCAAGTCGTTGAGTTCGGGGGTTTGATTTAAGGTTTCGATCGCGGGAAGCGGGAATGTTGATGAAAAACGTTCTCGTCGTTTTGCAGACATCCAAACACTCAAGATGCTTCTGGTACGCTTGTCTCTCTCAAATACGGTGACAATGAACAAACCAATGTCATAGACTATCTCTCATCGTTATTTATTTATTCATTCATTCGGCACTAGACTTGATATCAGCTTTACAGATGTCAAAACTATATTATTTTCCTGCACTGTGAACCCACGCATCACGTCCGCCACTTCACTGACTCCCCTTGATGACTGGGTGGGCCAGGTCAGGTCCGTTGCCGTACGGGACGACCTGAGTGGGGTTGACTTGCCGGTGAGACATGTAGTAGTGACGCTTGATATGGGTCAAGTTGAAGGTGCCGGCAACTAACGTGGGGGCAGAGGGGATATGCATATGTGTGTTGGTTGACGTATTAAAAGGAGCTTTAGGATAATGTAAGATGAAACCATAAGAGGAATAGGAATGGAGTGTACGTACCATGTGGCATCTGGTAAATCTGTTTGATCGTACGGGCAAGACGACAAAGGCAACCAACCAACACGGATATGTTAGAATCCGACCTCACAACAACCAACTAAGCCCAACGACCACCCTTGCAACTCACCTGACGCGCCCACCTTAAGATATTGGGGTAGTCCTTCTCGATAGACTTGACGTTGCACTTGAAGTGGCCGTGGTAGACGGGGTCAAAACTGTTTGGGACGGTATAATGACACGTGAGACCAAGAGATCCATACGCGAATTTTAGAGCGAAGGAGGGGTGAAGGGTATGTACGTACCGGACAATGGTTGTCCAGAGACGGATGTCGGCCTCGGTGAAGGTGTTGGCAACGAGGAATTCGTTCTTGGAAAGAATCTCCTCGAGGCGGTCGAGGGACTTGAAGAGTGGGACGACGTTCTTCTCATCTAAAGGAAGGGATCGATGGAACAACGTTCGTTACATTCCTTGTACCTCTCAACGATTATGTTCACAAGGACACTTGTGTAACGCCATTATTCCCTGCCCATCAACGCGGCTACTCACATGCGGCTTGCGTGGTGGCAAACCCACACTTATAAACACCGTTGTTGACGGTGTCGTAGATCCACTCGTTAATAGAGTCGATCTCGGGACGCAGGTGCTCGGGGTAGTAGGTCAGGCCACGGGTCTGGGGGACGACATCGTCGAAGACCGTGTTGAACATGCGGATTATTTCGGAGGACTCGTTGTTGACTGTGTTGGGAACCAAGCAGACCAGTGTGAACGCTTGGGGAAATGGGGTAGAGACGGGAGGTTTGTGGTAGTGCTGGAGTGTGTGTACGTACCGATGGTACTGTGCTTTTTGTCCCAGAGAACGGGGACAGTGAATCTGCCGCTGTACTCGGGATCTGAAGATGAGCATAAGATACTTGATATCATTAACACACATTACGATTCTCCCCGTCAAAAACGCCTCCTACACACACACCGTGTACACGTCAACCCAAACCCAACCCTTTCATACCGGCTTTGAAATACAGCTCGCGGATGTACTGGGCGTTATTGACAGTATCCGGGATTGCGCCGGGGGTTTCGTCGGCGGTCGAGAACTTCCAGCCTTTATCGAGCATGAGATAGTCGACAACGCTGAGGCCGATAACGTCTTGGAGACCCTTGAATGCGCGAACTATCACGGTGCGGTGGGCCCAGGGGCAGGCCCAGCTGATGTAGAGATGGTAGCGGCCACTGAGGGGGGAGTAGATTGGAATTACGCGTTAGGAGAAAATCAGTTGGGTCGCATTCAAATATGCGTAAGGAAATACGTACATTTCCGGGGCGAACCTCGCGCCGGGTTCGGTGGTGATTTGGCTGCGGAAGGACGAGTTGTGGCGGCGGAATTCGCCGTCAGTGCTGGCCCACTTGAGAATGCCGGATTGGGTGCTGGTGGCCATGTGTTTTGGTTTGTGAATGGAGAGGAAGCGCGTCGCGGTACGGAGGGAGGTGGAGGGGAGTCTGGAGAGGATGTAAGGGGGCATCTTAAATGCGTAATTAGTGACTGGAAATTATTTCAATTATTCAGCAGTGGAAGATTACAAACGGCCTATTATTTATCACGACGGCCTATTTCCCCGAACCCAAGGCACCGACGCAACGCTGCCCGAATTCGGATTCAATTTAACGCGAAGTTGTCCAAGGCTTACCCTCTTTTGAGCGTTTTTCTACTATGATCTTCTTGTGTTCGTCTTAACGAGAAGGGCGGTGACTTATGTGAGTCCCACACGAGATAATGTAACGTGAAAATGTTACCTTTAGAGTTTATCAACGATTTCATCCTCGACATTATTCTTTAGTTGCCTTTACTCTGTCATCCTTCCGACACTGTGGTCTTGTCACAGGTCCGGTAACTCACAAGGTATGCTCTGCGTACGAGCACTGAGTTTAGAACATGTATA